AGTCGATTCTGACTCATTGCAACCCCGGGCGACAGTTTAGAACAGCCATATAGGTTTTCTTGGCTGTAGTCTTTTCAGGAGCAAATTTCCATGCCTTTTCTCCTAAGGAGCTGCTGAATGGGGTCAAACTACCAACCTTTTGATTAGTAACTGAGTGCTTAACTGTTGTGCCACCAGGGTTCCCTGGAAGGGAACTAATGGTTGTTATTTCCCAATATCTCTGTATCTCATTCCCCCAAATCAGCTATAAACTTGTTACCATCAAATAGCCACAAACATCTGGATTTTAGAAATAGACTTTTGGGTTTAAAAATCACATACCTTGGTGAGATCCACCCACTGAACTCACTCTATTACCACTGATTTATGAAAACTGATTATTGATCTTCATCCTTGGTCTAACATCATGTTCCTTTTAGCCCAAGGACATGGGGCCCCTTGGTGCTTCTCATTGGCTACCTGGATGTAGCCTGGGTTCCCAGAGTGACCAACATTGCTTACCAGCCCAGAAGTGTCTACACTTTACTCTGCAGCAGTTGAAGTTGCTAAAGTGCAAATTCCTGATTCCACCTGAGACTGCTTCTGGAAGCCAAGGGTGGGGCCCAGGAATCTGCATTTTAACAAGAGCCCCAAGTGAATCGGACTCACATGTTCCTTTCTTTGCTCAAATTAACCAGCATCCTCCGTGTCACAACAGAAGCATCCGATGGATCAGTTTTTCCCAAACTGTGATAGCACTGAATGAGTCCTCTTCCAGCTATTAGCAGGTGGAATCAAATAAATGTGGGAACCCACCCTATCTGTCCTCCTTGGGGGGACACAAGGTGCATTAAAGTCTCCGACAAGTCCGACTACAGCTAACCCTATTTACATTTTTTCTAGCTTGTTTGGTCCAAACTTACTGGGCCATGGACCTCTTTTGCCCTTTGACATATCTATCCCATCCAGGGGGACACTTTCCAATAGAACATCATTTTGGGAAACACTGTAGTAAACTGTGAAGGCAGTTAATTGTCCCCTACTGTTTGGAATGTGGGTTATGTTAAAACAGAATATAGGGCTTTTTTCTCTTCTGCCTTGTTTTAAATATAGGTTTCAATGTTTTCTTTGACCAGTATTATCTACTCAACATTGAAGAGATGTTCCAGTTGAGGTCAGAACCTCAATGCTAGAGGTCTGAAATGTATGTATACATTTGGCTTGTGGCCCCGAGGCATCTCTCTAACCTGTCCTCCCCCTAACGGGCTACAGAGATGCTGACATCTGGAAACCCCTCCCCCATCTCTTCAGATCCTGTTGGTGTTTGGGGTTGCTGGCTTCCGCCTCAGGAAGGGGCCTGGGCTGAGAGCTTGGTGGCTTTTGTACACAGTGGGGAAGGGGGTGCTTTGGGAAAGAGGAGTGTTTCTGTTCATTTCTCCCACCACAAGGCAAGGCAATGTGAGGGTGGGAGGTGGGGGCTGATGAGCGCAGCTTGGGCTCCTGTTTGCTTTCTAATGTGTGTGTGTGTGTCACCTACAGCAGGTGGATGCAGTGTCCACAGACACCACGGGCAGCATCACAGGATGTCTGCGCCTCTGTGCACACTTGGTCTCTGGAAGGTACCATGGCAAACAGGAAAGAGTCTGCCTTTCAGAGCAGGCCTACCTGAATTCCAAACCTAGCATCATCATTTACTCTTGCGCGACCTTCAGCAAGCTATCCTTCTGAGCCTCAGTTACCTCATCTACAAAGTGGGGTTTATTATGCCCACTTGGGAGGACTGTGAGGATTCTAGACAAAGAATAAGACCTCAAAAATGAGAAGGTGCTATCCTCTCTGTGGAGTGCAGCCCACCATCCATCCACTGGTGAGCTATGAACCAACGTGGATAAGTGAAGGGACTGGAGAAATGAACAGGGCCGAAAGCACTGGGTGGGTGTGTTGGCAACATGCAAATGGCAGACAAGCATGAGAAGAGCGCATGCTGCCAGAAGCCCTAGGGGCGAGCAGCGCCGCCTGGTGGTCGGTGGGTGGCGCGCTATCCTGGGAACCTTGGAAGCAGTTGGAGCCAAGGAAGGGCTGGAAGCTCAGTGGTGGTCACCGTGGCCTGGGAGGCACAAGAGGTCCCCAGGGAAGTGCGAGGGAGCACAAGACACAGACCTTTGAGTTGAGGTACCCGGCTGACGGGCCTCCCTGGCCGACTAGCTGCAGGCTGCTTTTCAGAAGATTCTGGAAAGTCGGTCTCTTGGGTGTCCTCTCCCACAAGGGGCTCCTGGGCCTCGGGCTCTTTTCCAGGGCTTCCTGGAAGTGCGGTTCCTTCCAAATCCAACTCGGAACATTCCGGTTCCTTCACATTAGCTTTGATTTCCACTTGCAACATGAACTCGGCTGGAGCATCGTGTCCCTTGGTCGTCGTCGGCCCTGTGTTGGGCATGGCAGACTCTGAGACTTGGGTCTCTGTGAATGCTTCAGGGAGGAAACCGACAGGGAGGGGGATGGCACCCTCAACTGGGAAATCGGGAGTGCCAGTGGTGTCTCTGGAAAAGGGCAGGGAGTGTGGCCCAACTGGGGTTTGGGAGATCGGTGGTTTGGGGGAGATCTGGGAAGGAGGGGAGTCCTGGGGTGAGGACTCATCGATGTCGCGGTCTTCATCAATCTCCTCCTCGCCCGCCAGCCTCTCTTTGCTTTGTCCACCCTTCAGAGGGGGCCCCGCTGGGGGCAGTTCTTCCCAAAGCTGGCGCTTCAGCAGCTGGGGGTCGCAGTGGTTTCCCTCTGTGTCCTCAGGTTCCAGGCCTGGATGGTGGGCCTCTCTGGGTCCTTCAGACAGGATGGAAGCTCCAGGCAGGTCGGGTGCAGGCTGCGGGATCAGACCCAGGGTCCCTGGGTTGGTGGCCTCGCCTTCACGGTTCCCAGGCTCAGCGAGGACGCCTTTTTGAACAGGCTCTGTCCGCTCTCCAGGGGAGGTGGGCCCCCGCCAGGTCACACCCTCCTTGGGCCACTGCGCATGTTCCTGTCCCCACTCCTGGTGGGGCTCCTGAGCGCCTCCTGCTGGAGGAGCCGCGGGGCAGATGGGTTGATGCTGAGCATGAAGAGCGGCCACCGGCTGTGTGTCCCCCCAAGGCACCACTGAGACCCCGGAAGTTTCTCTTCTGTGTCCAGGCGGGCCCTGAGAGTTAAGTTCATTGGCCAGGGGTCTCAGTCCCTCAGGCACCTCCCTCTGCGGGGCCGGAACTCGGGCCGCCTCTGAATTTGAAGAGGCAGTGGTGGTGAAAGGTTAGCAAGGGCGTATGAATTGTTTAAGAGACGCAACATCACTATTGAAATGAGGAAAGGAAATCTGAATAGCATGAACTGCCCACCTAAGGAAGAAAAGGCGGTACGCGTGCTGGGCTCAGTCTGGATGTTGTTATTTGCTCTGTCTGCCACCAATCTGCTGGGTGACCCTGAGTATGCAACTGCCCTTTCTGGACCTCAGTTTCTCATCTGTAAAATGGGGGCTTTGAACCTGGTACCCTCTGAAGGTCTTTCTAGGGGCTGGCGTTATTCCTCTGCCTATGGGTCGACTCTGGTTGGCACAGAACACGCATGCTTAGTCCCCTAGGGCTACAGAAACTTCTGGAGCAGGAATTGGAACCCCCTGAGGGTTCTGGTGCCTGGCTTGAGTGCCACAGGGCCACTCCTCCTTCCTTTTTTGCAAATGAAACCTGAGGATGCCCATAAACAAACCTGCCTGAATTCCATGCTCTGATGGTTTTGGAAAATCCAAATTTATGATCATCAGAAATGGAGTCTTTATTCCCTAGTAGATCTACTGCAGACTCCTCTGAACGGAAACATGATTTAGATTCATCCAGGCCATTGATGATGGATGAGTCTTTTGCACTAGGTGGGGCAGACCTTGTGGTTCTGAACGATAATGATATTACTGGTCCTTGTGGGTTGTGCCTTTAATTGAGATTAATTCACATAATTTGCTGCTTGACCAAACTTGACCAAGAACACTTTTTTTTTTCTGGTTCATTCATGTGAATCCCTCTTTAATGAAAGTATCTGGTTATGTATTAAGGGCAGAAGAATTGCACATTAATTTTTCCTAATAAGTGCCTTTTTTTTTTTTTTTAACTTCTAACCTTTCAAACATCCCATTGAGTGCCAACAGAAGAACCCACAGAGCTCCCCAGTTCTCCTCTAAACAAAACTATAGTCCCCAAGGATCGAGGGAGTTGGAAAAGGAAGTCATTTGAATGATGTGAGGGGAGGTAGGTAGGAGAACACATGTATGTGTGCTCACATGCATGTACATGTATGTGCACACACATGGGTAACAAGTGGACCACTCCCCTGGTGTTCACTGGAGCTCCGCTTCCTCCCACCCTACACCAGGCTATGAGCTCACATTCTTGGTCATTTTGTATTCCTAGCACCCACTAACCACAATGCCTGCCATAGAGCAGGTGATCAATAAACATATTCCTGCACAGGTCAACGCACTCCTGGTGTGGTGCTGTGGGACCAGCGCTGGACTGCAAACTACAAGGTCAGCAGTTCAAACCCACCAGTGTCTCCTCGGAAACTCTATACAGGGTCGCTATGAGTTGGAGCTGATTTCACAGCAAAGCACAGATCAATTAGTGCCAGGGAAAGGTACCAACTTCTGCTTTTTGCAGGGTCTACAGGCCCTTGGTCAAACTGGGAAGAATAGCCCAGAAAACAGTGACCCCAGGACAGGTGAGGTCAGGAGGCAATCCTGAGAAGGTGTCTTTTTGCCATGACTTAACAACCAACCATCTCAGCAGACTGGAGGCCCTGGGGCTGTTAGTTCATTGGACCATGGAGATGCTTAGGTTTCCACTGGCTTCCAGAAAAAACTCTCCTCCCAATTTTAAAGAAATTGCTGTCAACTAAGATGGTCCACCGCTGGACCAATAACTAACATCAAGATAAATGGAAAAAAGATTCAAGTTGTCAAAGACGTCATTTT